TCTTGTTACGTGCATGAATTTTTATTGGTTAGTTTTATTAACTATTCATGCAATTCCATTGGTCGATGATATATAGGTTTTTTTAGTGGGATTTGCGGATTCCAGATGTCCGGTGATAACACTGTTAAAAGGTATACTCACCTTACAATAAGATTTACAATAATATATATTTAAATTTAACTTTGTTTCGCTTCTTTTTTTTTATTTTTCAACATTTACGGTTTAATTGTATAACATTGACAGTTATTATGGCACACTAAAGGAAATAAACCTTTCATAATATGACTTGACACTTAGATGTCAATCGTTAATAATAGTAATTGACAATCACAAGTCTACATAGTAATGTAAAATGAAGTTATGATAATACGTAAAAGATATTATTAGTACGTCATAATAATTTCTTTTTCTATAATATTTTCTGTTTATACGTATTATATTATTTTTAGGTTTAGAGATCATTGTGCCATTTAATTTTTAGTAACAAGTCAAATAGTATCAAAATCATTCGATTCTGATTTAGTCCAATAAGTTAAAAAAATAAACTTTTTTTTATATAAGTATACATACGTATTACATATTAAATTAGGTACCGCCAAGAGAAACCAAGAATTCACATATAGGATATGGGCTTATCGACTGACCTTATAGACTCAGTTATAAGATTAAATCAGACGTCATTTTTGCAGCTGATAGACCATACTATGTGAATTGTTAAATTCCAAATACAGGTTTTTTTCACTTGGCGACATTCAAATTATGGGGATGATTGTACAGAAAAAACATGCCGTTTTGCTGTGTACTCACCCAAAATCAGATAAAAGTATACACTTTTTGCATATTGTATATTTATATTAAATTATATGTATATTTATATTAAATTATGTATATGTGACAATATAAGAAGTTATATATTTAATTATCGCAACCTTATATGTGATTATAGAAATAAAACAGTTCATAATGGTTTTTAGAGTTTGAGAAAATCATCACACACTATATAGAGGTTATAATAACATATATATTTTTTTATAAATAATAATTATTTTATTGTAAATAAATTATATATAAATTTTAATTTTAAAATAAGATTTTATTGCTTACAAAATTTTGTTAGTAATCCATTAAGTACAGTACGCGTTGAAAATTCTGGTTTTAAAAATAATTGTATAGTTATCAATTATATAAATTATATAAATAAACATACTTTAAATAAAACCAATAAAACCAAATAAACTAATAATAAATGTAATAACAGATAAATCATGTAATTTCCATTTGAATTATTTAAATTATTTGAATTAATGTATTGTACATACCGCGTTCTTTAATATGTCAACATAAGGAAAATATAATTCGGAGACAAGAACCAAATTTAAGTATTGTTCGTAAATCTTTTACACAATTTATATATTTAATTATTATTTTATTAAGAATTTCTTAACTGAAACTTTACGCGTGAATCTTTTTAAATTAAGTGATATAAAGAGAATTTATCAGCTCATACCGGTAAAAAAAAACAAGTCACAATTTGTGTAATTCGTAACAATGTTTGACAAAAAAAAAAAAAAAAAAATATATATATATATATACATATATATATGTTCGAATTTGTAACCTTGATATTCCGGAGGTATCTTTATATAGTGTATACTAGTAAGAGAGTCTTACCTACATATATGGTTGTTACCCCGATAAAAAATTCGACAAACAAACTTTCTACTTGTTATGCTATGCATGATGCAACAATTATGCTTCATTCTATATGCATGTCGAATAATCATGACGCGAAAAAATTAGGCAATGATAATTAATGATAATTATATTCAAATTACATTTTTTTTTTTTTTTTTTTTTTTTTTTGCATGCAGAATATCTTGAACGTATATAATTTCGTTCAGAATATGGAGAACCCTTAAAACATGAATTACTATGGAATTAATTATGGAAGTTTGGATAAACGTGTCACACATCACAATTTAAGTTAGAAAGTACATGTGAGAGGAACGGACATACGGTATAAGCATTGTTATACGTATATTTTTTTTTTTTTTGAAATGTTTATTAAGTTTAAAATTTATTACATTTACCAATTGCAGAAATTTAATTTTTCTATATTTTATCCCTTTGTTTAAGAAATTTAATTAATTAGAATTTACACAATCCAATAATAATAAAAGAAAATATTAATGAATGGGAAATTATGTTTGAAATAATATTCGATTTTAATACGTAACTGTTTTTTTTTTTTTGTAGGCGGAATTGTCTACGATTGGTCTTGAAAATTATCAGAATGATTTCCTTAGTAAGATTTATTCGTACTGTGTCATACATCAAACCTGTATAGTTTATATAATTTATATGAAATATTTTAGGAAAGATTTTCTAATAACAAAGTCAGAAATAATGTATTTCCAAAAATAAATATTACGTAAAAGCGCAGCATAAAATTAGAAACTTTGAGAAAAAAGTTATCAAAAGATTTCCATCGTACATTCATAAAGGATAGATAACAAATAAATTTTTTGAACAACCTTTTTTTTCATCTTCAAAGTGATATGCCTGAACACGCGACCCTGGACATGACTTTCCTATTTCGATTTTTTTTATACATTTAAATATTATTTAAATCTTATTTAATCTGTCACATTAATGTATGCGCGTTGTACTAACGCTATACCGTTGTACTGAAGATCGCGGATTAAGATGGCCCGATATATGAAATATTATATACCGGGTACCGTGTATTTAATCATTGGTTCGAGCAGAAATAATGTATCAGAATAGTCTTTCAATTATAATTACGTACGTATGTTGTATACATTATATTACCATAATTATTGAATTTTAATAAGTCCTAATTTTACTCTTTTTTCTATACATTCAATGAGACATACATAGCTAAAATGATGCAATAATATGTAAAGGATGTAGGGTCGCGTCATAAAAACAATACACATACAATTTTAAAATTGCCATGCAGGAATTTTGTTAAGATTATTAAGATTAGAAAATTTAGTGTCACAGCATTTATATCTTGTGACAAGATAATAAATATCTTTCATTATTTTCGCGATATAAATAATATATTAAATATAACACGTTATAATTTTTTTAAAGAAAAATAATTTGATAACTTCAAATTTGTCAATATAAAAGTAATAAAATAAATCTTTACATATCTAATATCTTATATTATGAATTTTAGAAGATTCGACTTAGAATGTTTTTTTTCTAACCGGAATTTCCAAGTAACACAACGGTTAAGTTTATGATCGCGCATTCTATATAAGTCTTTGAATATAAAACAATCTAATTATAAACTGATAATACTGTAATATAAAATATACGCGTCATTATTTCTACATTGTAAAGGTTCACGTGATTAATGTCTAAACAATACTGATCCTAATGTTCCCGACATATACTGATATAAATATCTAATTCCACGTGATCAAGAGGAGATTGTAGAACACAAGAACACTTATTTGTGTATTAAAAATATCCGTGTTATTTTCTTCTTTTAACTTGTGTATTAATTTTACCATTTTAGCCAGTTACCATGGTCAGACAATTTAAAGATCAGTTATCATGTGGTTTATTGAATAGAAAGTTGACAAAATTTTTTTAATATATTTATTATTATTATTATTATTTTTAATTAAGACTTTTTGTAAATGACCTAAATAAAAAAATGAATAGAGAAAAAGGTTAAATTATTCTGGTTGATGATCAGGGGGGAATTATTGATAGTCATCACTTGTACCAACACTGAAAAATATTTTATGAATTTTTTTTTTTAAAGAAAACATAACGATAATATATTAAATAATATATGTATATATATAATTAATATATTTTATATTTTAATTTATTTACTATCACATTTTTTTGGGCTATGTCGAAAATTGACATAATCTTCATAATCTTACCAAGTTAAAAAAAAAAACACGAGGAAAAATTTTTAATAAATAATTTTTTTTAAAGTTATCAGATTGGTTTGATCGGGAAGCTCATGAATAAACTATTAGGGGTTATACCAAAATATCGTATATATAACAAATATGGATCTAAGATTTTAACGGTTTCGATCAGGTCCACCAATTTTTTTTTTATATGAAAAAACGTGATTCATAGAAAAAAATTATGTCAAAATTCATGTCTCACGAATAACTTTAAAAAACGTTTTTTTAATAAAAACATTTAGAAAATAAACTTATTCAGGTTAGTAATTCAAAAAAGCCACAATATATAGTTTTTTTTTTTTCTTATATTTATTTTTTATTAAGTCAATAATAATGAACCCCCAAACACCATTTATTTTTTTTTAAAAAAAAAAGAATCTAAAAAAAAAAATTGAATAAAAAATATCTAACACAAATCAATTGATGTTAAAAATTTTTTGTTTTTTTTTTTTGTTGTTTTTTTTTTTTTTTACCCAGCAAAAATTTAAAATGAAAAAAAAAAAAAGAATTACAAAGAAGAAAAAAAGAAAAATAATAATAAAAAAAAAATCTTACAACGTATAGAAGAACTTAAAAAATATTTTGCAATTGGTATGATATTTTACGCTTTGTACATATGATTACGTGATTAATAATCTAAACGCGTCCTTCTTAAAATCTAAAAAAGAATAAAAAAAAAAAAAAAAAACAATTCGATAATACAAGAAAATCGTAAAGAAAAAAATGAAATTTTGTTTTATTTATTTATTATGGATTGATTTACACTTTGACAACCTCCATAATAAAATTTTTGCGCTCCCTTAAAAATAAAAAAAGAAATTTTTTTTTTTTTTTTTTTTTTTTGAGGAAAAAAAAAAAAACAAAAAAAAAACAAAATTTTCCATCATAATATACTATATACTATATTTAACAGTTTCTAACCATCTTATTGCTTATAAAAGGCTTGTAATAAGCGTAAGGAAAAAAAAAAAGACACAAAAAAAAATGGATGATGAAAAGTGGATTGTTCCATTTAAAAATTTTTTAATTATTTTTTCATATCGAGGAAAGGGAATTTATATTTAAACCAATAACGTTTTTAGCATTGGCAGCTTCAGCAGCTTTACGTTCTTCTTCTTCACGTTTTTGTCTTCGCCATTGTTTCCGAAGTTCTTTAAATTCTATTTTTAAAAATATAAAAAAAAAAGTTTAATATCATTATAATTTTAATATCATCAAAAAAATAATATAATAAACTTATTATATATTTATTTACCAGAAGGATGTCGTTTTGGTCCATGCTTTTGCATCTGTACATGAGCGTTCAAATGATTAAGAGTACCATAACTTTTTGTACATCCAGAATAATTACAAGCATAATGACGTTCAATTTCATCATATCTTCGACGAGGTCTTTTCTTAGTATTAATTCCTGGTAAAGCTACGAAAGAGTATACTTTTTGAGGACGTTCACCATTATTAGCTTGAGAGATCGCGTCATTACCATCTTCTGATCTAATACTTCGACGATTATTAGATGAACGATGTGTTGTTGATGCTATCAAATTACCATTATTCATAGATTGAGCAGCTGCCATAAAATGACTATTAAGTAAAGCTTGATGATGAGCAGCATTTGCAGCATTATGATGATGATAATTAAGTGAATTTGGAACTATCGGTGAACCTGTAGAAGAATTAGCACTCATTGGACTAGTATCAGTTGCACCTACAGTTAAACCATTTGTGTTGATAGCGAGCATTGATGTACTATTACGACTTCTACCTATAGGGTCTATTGCACCACCAGAAAGAGCTTGCATTTCAGAAGCACTTGCACCAATACGAGGTAAAGTACGAGGATCAGCTACAGGAATATTTGAAGCAATTTGAGGTTGTTGACTTTGTGACATCATTGGTGCAGTAGAAAAAGTAACATTATCAGTAACTTGTTGAGCAGCAGCAAAAGAAGCCGCAGCAGCGTTTACATCAGAATATTGTGGAATTGTTTGATAAAAGCCAGAATGAGCAGCAGCTGATGTCATTGGCATATTTGCGTTCGTTTGATGTTGTGATTGTGGTTGTGAGACAACTTGAGATTGAATTGGAGATGATGTAGATGAATTTTGTTGACCAGGATGAGCTGAAGAAGTTGGAAAAACTTCTGATAAAGGTGGAAGAATATTTGCAGTATTATCAGGCGATAAAGTAACACTTGATGCCGATCCGGAAGGCATCATAGTTGGAGAAGAATGATTTTGTTGAATAGGTGAAGCTTTTTGTACATCAGATTGAGTAGTCATAGAGTTGGTAGTATTAACAGACGACTGATACAAATAATTTGCATCTATAGCGAACGAAGTATCAGCTGGTGAATGCCTAGATAACGATGATGTAGAAGGCGATCTTGAGTGATATATGTTTGGATAAACGAACGACTGTTGCGGTTGGTATTGAGGGGCAGTTTGATACATTGAAGAAGGAATATGTTGGGGAGGAATTGCGGAGAAGTTTGTATGAATATCGTTATGAGATGGTTGTAAAACGATCATTGAAAACAATTTTTCAGTGTTTAGCTTATAAAAAGATATTTTAAGGAAAACAGGGGAGAACTTTGATAAATCTTTTTGACTATTTTTTTTTTTTTTTAAGAAAAGATAAAATTGAACTTAAAAAAATAATAAATAAAAAAGAAAATTTATACAAGATTTAGTTGCGTGATCTGATATAGAAAAAAAAAATAAGAACGCGATTTGCTTTTTTTTCTCAACTTTCTCTTAGTGATGGTAAGATTTTGTCAAAAAAAGATCGTTGAGGATTATACAATTTTTATTTTTTTTTTTGTTTAAAGAAAATAAACTTTCGTTCTGGATTATATATAGTCACCGTCTGACCAGGAGGAGACTTATTTATAGCCTGTTGGAATTTTTTTCTTTTTTTTTGTTTTTTTTTTTTGTTTTTTTTTTTTTTTTGTGGTTGGTTGGTTTAATGTCTATGCTATATATATTTAACTAACAAGGGACCCAAACATTAATAACTGATACATATTTAAAACTCAACTTTAAATTGGCATAGTTGTACATACAATTTATACAATTTACTTTACAAATATCCCAAGTTATATATATTTTTTATATACTTCTATATATCTTTTTTATACGTTTATTATTAATAAAAATAACGAATGAACTTTGTTTTTTTAAAGCTTTCAATTATTATTATTATTATTATTATTATTATTATTATTATTATTATTATGATTATTATTATTATTATTATTTTTATTTTTATTTTTATCCGAATATCTGATAAAGTTACATAATAGTCAAAGAATTCCGAATTTTTTATTCGAGTAAATAATAGAAAAAAAAAAGAGAGAAAAAAAAATTACAAAAGACTCTCTTTCATCCCTCTCTTGCTTTTGTTTCGCACATTCTAGTCGTAAACTGTTTAAAACCACTTCTCTTGTTTCCCAAAAGAGCAAAAAAAAAAAAAAAGCATCTAAAAGTTTTTCTTTCTGTTACGATTTTCTAATTCATAATTTAGTTTTTAAAACCCCTTTCTATTATCTATAGTCTATAGTATCAGGTATAGTATAAAAAAGTAATATAAACAATGATAAAAAAAAATTTAATGTATTTGAGCAAATCAAAAAAATCATCAAATTAACGATTTTTTTTTTTTTTTTCTTTGCTCCCGTGTGCTGTTGTTCCTCCAAATAAAATTGGTCGGATTATTTTATTTATTTTTATTCAATTATCACAAGATTATGCGATCGGTTAAGTCTCACAATAATTTTTTTTAGTTTACATTTAATAATAATAATAATAATAATATATATATATATATATATATAATATACTGTAATTAATATAAATTTACTGAATTACTGTATATATTATATTTTTTATTTATATAGTTCTTGCATTTGAAAATAATATATAATATGGCTACTTTCTTTTCTTCGAAATATTACTAAATTAAAAAAAAAAAAAAAAAAAACGTATATATATAAACAAAAAAACCCTTTAAAATTTTTTTAAAAAAAAAAAACCGTTAGCTTTTTTTTTTTTTTAATGATAAAAAAAAAAAACATTCTTGCATAGACATTAAACCAACCAACCACAAAAAAAAAAAAAAAAAAAAAAAAAAAAAAAAAAAAAAAAAAAAAAATCCAACAGGCCAAAAAAAAATTTTCTCCTTGAAAAAG